TTCTTTTTCTCCTTAAATGAATTTTATTACTACTACTAACTGTTGTAACAGCTAAAGAATTCAAAAGTTAAGACAAGCTTTAGGGTTGTGGGTTTTGGTCTCTACCTCTGTGTCATGAAGTGGAGCTGAAAGAAGCAATGGCGTCCATTTCTTGGCGTAAGAGAAGGGCGTCGATGAAGGAGTCTAGATTCTCTCCCTGCATCATCTCTTCAATGGCATGGTGAGTGATTCCCACACGGTGATCCGTGACTCGCCCTTGTGGAAAATTGTATGTACGGATTCGTCCGGATCGATCTCCGCTGCCAATCTGTTAATGGGATTACATATTTATCAGCTAGGGAAGATAATGATGTAAGATTGACTTGGAAACATAAGAAAACAGATTGTTAAAAGTCATATATGTACCTGATCTGACCGTAACTTTGATCGGGTGTTTTGTATTCTCAACCTTTCGATTTCATAGAGCTTAGAACAGAGTACTTTAAGTGCTTTGGCTTTGTTCTGTATAAAATTAAAAAGTGGAGATTTTTTCATCAGGAAGTAAAAGGTTGAGGGAATGAAGGGTAGTGGTTGAAGTGTTTAACTACCATATGTTGTGATCTTTCGTCTTGGATCGAGACCATTATCCCCGTTGGATGATGGATTATTCGGACTGCACTGTTTGTTGTGTTGGCATGTTGACCACCGCAGCCACCTGATCTGTATGTATCGATCCTCAAATCTTCATTTCTTAGCTGAACATCTACCTGTAAGCAGTCAAAAGTAAAGACAAAAATGATCAAAGAGTGTGTAAGTTCTTAAGATTAATAGATTAAAAAGACAATGTAACATCGGAGAAAACTTTGTACCTCATCAGCCTGGGGAAGGATGGCAACAGATACAGCGCTGGTGTGAATTCGACCAGATTTCTCTGTGACAGGAATACGCTGTGGAAATATGTTTAAGTGTTAATAACTAGAAAACACATTTTGAAAATGTATGAATTGCCAAGAAAGCTTAGAATGTGATTCATATATAACATACCTGAACCCTGTGAATTCCACTCTCGAACTTAAGTTTTCCGTAAACATTGGCTCCACAAATCGCAGCACTGGCTTCCTGGCAATTACATTCAAGATCTTAGCTGCACTAGAGCAGAGCAACAGTGGAATACTAATATTCACAGAAGAAAGAACAAAAAAATACTTACTTTATATCCTTTCATATCTGACTCGGTGATGTCTACAATTTCAAACTTCCAACCTTTCTTCTGTGAATACCTTTCGTACCTATCAATATTCCAACCGATAAATAAAACCAAGTCAAAGTTTAAATACAAAAAAGGATACTAGCTTCCTACGTACAGTGTATAGATGAACTTACATTCTGAATATGTCCATGGCAAACAAAGAAGCCTCTTCTCCACCAGTACCTAAACCAAGATATTCAATAGTCAAAAATAAAAAAAACTATAGACAACATTTTGAAATTTACGGATAATGTTTGGAAGCGCGGTGTTTAAGAACCATTAGTTCACAAGTCTACCTGCTCTCACCTCCAAAATGCAATCCCTCTCATCAGCTTCATCTTTAGGAAGCAAAGACTTAAGCAGCAAAGTCTGCAGTCTTTTTTCTTCTTCCACCGCCTCACCTAATTCACTTACCGCCATATCAAGCATGTCCTTATCATCCGAGCTTTCAGACACGAGAGATTTCAGCCCATCAATCTCCTGCCAAAAGAAATTACACCTAATAAATAACAACCTTTCGATAAAGACAGAACTGGAGGCTGTAATCAAAAACAAGAAGGAAATTCACTACCTTTTGTATTGCCCTCAAATCATTGATCAGTTCCATCGACTCTCTCAGTTTCCGAAGTTCCTTATTAGCTCTTGAAAACTCTTCTTGTGAATACTCAGGCTATCTTGAATCAACAGATCACAAGTTTATTCAACATTTCAAAATCAACAATTTCGTGTGATTTGGAATTTGAAACATTATAACAAAAAAAAACTTCGGATTACCTGATTTATAAGCCTCTGAAGAACAGCATTTCGATGTTCTATAGCTGATAATCTCTGATCCATTATCTTAATAAGATCTGGAGACAACTGTGGTTCCATTTCTGCCATTATAGACCCAAATTTCAATCAAATACTTTACAAGCTCTAAACGGATTGATACTAAGTAATTCAGATCATACAGTTATAAGAAACTGAGGAATTTTCAAGAGAAATATAAACAAACCTACCGGTTGTGTAAAGACGAACCATCTTCGACGAGAGTAACGATCGTGTGGTACGATCGATTGGATTCGTGACTCTCGAGTAAGATCGAATCAGATTACTCAACAAATTCACCCGAAACAATCCCCTCATATTGTTTAAAGCAGAAATCTCGTCGGACAGTCTTTCGATCTGTCCGGTTAATTTTCGATCCGAACGGTGAGGATGAAGGAACTTTTGCCGGAGCTCGTGACGGCGATTTCTCTCGTCGCCGTCGAGAAAAGATGAAATGAAACTTATCAAAGGAGGAGGNGGGTTTTGGTAAATTTTGCAATTCCAAATCCTAATAAGGGCAATCTCGTCAATCTTTTGTGTTGGGCTTTCCCTCGTTTTACTACATCTATTGGGCTTTCCCTCGATATATGATTTTAATTTAGCAATATATTGGGCCATAGGCCTATATTACTTTAATATATTAGAAAATTGATAAAAAGAGAAAAAAAAACCAAAATATTTATAAAATTATTTATATTTTAAAAAAAGAATAATATTTCCAATATTAACAAAAATAATTAAAATAAAATAGGTGAGATTTCTATATTTTTATATTACAAAATGTCATATTGATAAGTGTGATTTTGC